CCCAAAAAACACCCCGGCCGGGGGGGGGGGGGGGGGGGGAATCAAACTTGTGCCTTGTGGCTATGACAGGGGTCTGTTCTGAGGTCTTCTGCCAGATATGACATCCTTGGGAGGCTTTTTACTTTGAATTCCATAGCTGAACCCCATATGTGTTTATTAGCAATACATAAAACCAGAATGACTCTTAAGTAGGGAGAACATTGCACCAAATCCAACCGACAATGTGACATGGTACTAGTGTTGTTAATATAGATCAGATCTCACAAGCTAGCAGTAATGAGTGAGGAGTATCTCTAATTTCAAATCCAGGCTTTGAGTTTATGTCATGGGTCATAGTAAGTAACAAGAAGGAGGAATTCTGAAGTACCTCCTGTGCATATCTGCACAGTCTCCAATGTGATGACCAATAACTGTCTGGCCCCTCCTGGATGAGGCAAAGCCACAGTAGCTGGGCCATTGCCATACAGGCAGTCTTCCACAGCATTTACAGGAGTATGAAATTTCAAAGTCATAGTAGTCTGAAAAGGAGGAATTGGTATAGATAGAGGCATACCTCCCTGCCTCATAGGAGATATGCCCTTCATGTTCTCCATAACCTTTCATTGAGCAGCAGCTTTCCCCAGTGCACATGGTAGTGCCAAGCACCGTAGAAGCTGAAAAGTTTGAGAGTTATCCTAGGAATGCTTGTCTGATGCCAAGCCCACAGACTTTCATTTGGCAGAAGGAGAGGAGTCCTCCTAGACCTTAAGAAAACATGACTTAAAAGGACTAACGCCATACTTACGCAGAGTAAGCAACTCTTCCAACAGAAATGTAAAGCCACCTAGGTGTGTGGACTGCTTACTATAAAGTAGTTGCCAGATTTAAAATCTTATAATCATGATCTCAAAACTAGAACAGTAAAATGGAAAATTAATTCCAGTAGATACAAAGTAAGTGGAAGCTCCCCTGAAGAGCTCACTAAAGGATTCAGGGCTCAAAGGCATACAGCCTGGGAAAAATGAAACAAGATATATATAGAGAAGTTACAGCAAGATGACAACAAAAAAAAAAAGATTTTGAAAAGACAAAGGATGAGTAATACCATGAAATCCACATCCTTGGTAAAACTTGAGTCACAAGGAAAGGAACCAAAACCTTCTTGTGTTAGATGAAAGAAAAAAAATGAGTAAGACTTCATTCAGAGTTGAAGAAAAAGGGAGGCTCCAAAGCAAAAAAAACCAAACCTGACTCTCAAGATAGAATCTTTAGCTTTTCAATTCCAAGTCTAAGGTGACCTGAAGGAAGTGCTATATGCATCTGCACATTTTTGTTCGGAAAAGGAGAGGAGGACGTGTAACACAAAAGCAGCATAATATATGGATCAAAATTTTTATAAGTTTGCTGTGGTGCACCATGAACATATGCAGACAAACGTTTAAAGAAATTAATTCCTTCACATTTGTAAATAAACTTTTTTAAACAGACTTAAAAATCCAAATGACATTTCAGAGGCCCTGAAAATAGGCATTGTCAACTATGATTTAATCTGCAATCTAATGTGACATTTCACTAAGGACTGCACTATTTCTTGTGATATTTTTTGTCATTTTTGATACAAAAGTTCTGGTTTTAAGTTGGTACAAAAATCACTGAATTAAATCTTAACATGTCACCAAAGTCTACCTGTTGATCTGATGTTCTTTTCTGTGAAATCTACTAAAACATTTCCTATTTTTCATCTGCAGTTTATATCTCCAGTTTGGTCCTATGCTTGTGGTTTTGGAATTTTAGTTATGTCTTACTAAAACTAATATAATTTTTCTTGCAACTCTGTAGGTTGCATACAGAGCATACAGTAGCACAGGCATAATTTATGGGACATTTGGTATTCAGAACATGTTATGAAAAGGTGACAACAGACACATTGCATCTGGTACAAATTACTAAATGTCAGTTACTGAATTCTGTTTGGTTCCTACCTTAAGTAGAACAAACTTACATCAAACAGCCTTTAATTTATTTTTGTATTGTTGATGAGACTTTTTTGAAGTTTTTCAAATAGTCACAAGTAAGAATAAATATTGACATACTGGGAATATAGTATCAAAACTTTAAAAATCACAAAAGTAGAATGCATTTTAAGCCAAATGCATTCCTCAGCAATCTCCCAAAACAGCCCGAATACACTTAATCTTAAGAGAAACTAGTACTTACCAATAAAATTTCAATGGTACCAAGAATGTACATTGCTCCTGCAAAGGTTGTACCCAGGTAGAAACAAAGTCCCACTGCTCCACCAAACTCTGGCCCTAAAGATCTTGAAATCATGTAGTAAGAGCCTCCAGCTGTGAATTTAACAAAAAAAAAAAAAAAGACTTCAGCCTTTCAGATCAAGGACAGCAATAGAGAACAGAAATTTGAATCGTTCAATCAACATAGTCAAGATTCAGTGTCTATACTGCATTTTCTGGGGAACAGAAAACACACCAAGGAAAGAGGAAAAAATCCACAAGCTAAACAATCTAAAAGTAAATTAAGAAAAGGATATACAGGTATAAATAGATGTGAATCAATCTAGTTTCTAACCTCAAGCTGTTCACAATCAAACAATAAGCTTCCAGAATAATTTCTTTATGAGATAGGGACAAAATAGAATTTGTCTCACTAATACGCATTCTTTTTCTTTTCTGTACATGAAACTATTACCACTTTCACTACAGGCATTTTTTTCAGTACCATTTAAAAGGGTTAGGTAGGGATTGCTTTTTCTTGTCTACTCATATACTATTCACTTTGCCCCTGAATTTTTCCAATTCTTCTCACTCATATTTCCCATACACATGCATCATCTTTAAGTCATGAGCTACTCCCCCCATTTCCACTGTACCATTTCCCTTTCAATAAGGCTCTAAGTTTCAAGCTCTATCTAGACTTCCCCCCAACTCCCTCAAGGGATGCTCCTCTCTGGTTCTCTCTCCATGTTCTCTTAAATTAATGATGTTTGTCCCACTCATAACTGAGGAAGAAAGAGGAGACAGAGAAAGGAAGTGCTTTATTTTACGTAAACATACACTAGCCTTGTATAAAATTAGTCCACAAATAAGAAATACACTTCTAATTAAAGGGCAGAGCTTGAAACTGCTTTTCAATATAAACAAGTGAGAAACTAAAAAAAAGTTATGATGCATCACCAATCCTTTTACTAAATATAATGCTGTTGCATACAACGGCAGGAGACAAGATCCTGCTGCTCAGAAGGTCTCTTTCAATCCTAGGTTCCTATCTGTGCCTTCTGCCTCCTCCATATATTCCAGCAGAAGCAGCATTTCTCTAAGAAACTGGCACCAACAAAAAAAAGTGAAAGTGAAGAAGACCTGTCTAGTGTAAGAACTGCCAACTTCAAAGATTTCTGTGACACTCAGATGTTAAGCAAAACTTTTACAATTAACTTTAAAAATATGAGTGGGAAAAGAGCAGAACATTTTAGTTATCTGGACACTGATTAGAATAACTACATTTCATTATAAAAAATAAGTATTTGAAACAAAATTTTCTATTATATTTCATATATGGTACTGTATCCATGAAATGCAATTATTCTACACCCTGCACAAGTTGTAGCATTTACTTTTGCCCAAAAACTTATGTATCAGTTCTGGAGCCCCTTACTAAGCTGGAGAAACTCTGCAAGTGAGGAATTATTTTAACTTCATTAGGTAAACTGTTCAGAGTTCAAAACAATGTCTAAACACTGGTATTATCAATTAATGTGTTGAGAAACCGAAGAGGATAAGAGCTGCAAAAGCTAACTGATTTTGCATCTATAAAAATTGGCTTCATAATTGAAGAGGAACAAGGTCATATATTTATCCTGAAAATTTAAGGAGATAAGCATAATCTAGAGTGCTTATATAGAAAAAGATTTCTGCTGGCAGATTGGCTGTTATTCTTGCAGAAAACAACATAACTAGCTCCAGTGTTTAAAAATGGAGTCTAGGCAAATTCAGGCAAAAAAAAAAAGTAAAGCAGCCTTATTTGTGAATTTGTAAAGAAATTTGCTTTGCATGAAGACAAGTCTCCATTAGTTCAAATTATAACATCTTATCTTTCATTCAAACAGAATCAAATGATTGATGACAAAAATGTGCTACAATTCATAACTCCCAGAAGGTCCAGTGAAAAGATTGCATCTCACCTTAAAAAGTCATTTATAAATCAGGTAAAAGAAAATATGCACTTGACATAAAAGCATTACTTCTGATCTCGCAGTACAGTAATTTCTTATCCCAGCTTTAAGCTTCCATCATTTGACCATTCACCATTTAAGATAAAATTCTTCATTACAGGGAACTACACCATTTGTTGCTATTGCACTCATTGAAATTGCAGTTAGCATAGTCTGTGGAAAGATAAAATAGAGGAAAATTAAAATAATGAAAGTTTTTTGAAAGATAAGGCAAGACAAAGTGATCAAATGAAACTAGGAATTTTTTTTAAAAAGATGTTGTAGCAACCAAAAATGATCATATCTTAGGTTAGGGATATCCATGTAAATTAAGTACTAAATTTTTCAGTAGAAGTTTCAGTTAATTTAGATGTTTGAGGCAGTCTTTAAAAAGAACTGAAAGAATACAGACCATTGAATATACTTAAAATAAGATGTTCATTATTCCAATTAAATAGCGACAAACTGATCAAGTGTCATTGTTATGACAACATCATCTACTAGCGGTCTCACATTCCAAAATATTAATTTATGGACATAATGCTGTGGATTGATTTGTAGTTTATATTTCAGCTTGTTCTGAAGTTGTGAAAAGCAGAACAGTTCAGATCTCAATGTAAATCAGGAAATATTTGCTAAAAGCTGATTTAATAAAATCCATGTAATACTTCAAATAAAAGCTTACTGTGATCAACTCAAAAGAAACTCCATAGAGGCTAGAATGATACGTGACACTCAGTGCAAATATATATCTCTCTCCCCGCCTCCCCTCCCCCCGTCTCTCAGTTGCACTAGTACTTAACCATTATGGAGAAATCTTTCTCTGCTACTCGTATATTAGAAGGCAGCAGTACTCTTGTAACAGAAGATTTGGCCAATAGTAAAGAAAAAGGTTAACTTACACAAGCACAGCACATAAACACAATGATGAAAGACTCGAGAACTCCAGCTGTTCCCACAATCCATGTTAAACGTAGGAAAAGAATGACTCCCAAGATGTTTTGCAAGCAGGGCAGGTACACACCAATAAAAGTGCCCATACGTGGAACCTGGAAATGAAGTCAGAACTTTAATTCCTTTGCCCTAAACAATTTAAGTCCATAAGCACTTCCGCAAACACTTATCACAAGTGTTCCATGAACAAATGCCAAGTGAAATTGAATGGTAGCTTCAGAGTGTCCAGCTTCACAAATATTCATAGGCTGTTTATGAAGAAAGATTCCTGAAAAGACAGAAAACTATTTGTGATAGCAAACCCTCTTGTTCCACAGGAATTAGGATGAAACCTTGATAGGGGTAGGATGCCCCTTTATCTGTTGATTACAAGGCTTTACAAACTTTCTTCTGAAATACGTTACAGACTACCGTTGAAGAGAAGTTACTTCCATAATCAAAATACCAAATATATTCTGCAAAAAGTTGATCACCAATTGCCCTGCAAAAAGTTGATCACCAATTGCCCTGCAAAAAGTTGATCACCAATTGCCCTGCAAAAAGTTGATCACCAATTGCCCTGCAAAAAGTTGATCACCAATTGCCCTGCAGCTGGCCTACAAAATGATATTCAGCAATAAGTGTTTTCAATTTTTTTTAAAAAAAGACAGACAAGGTATTATGACAAGGCCAGAAGAAATGCAGAGCTGACTATAATTTGTTTTTGCAAAAGTTGTAAAACCTACAACAACATAGTATATTTGTTTGTACTTTTTATTTGCTGGTGATCATCATGAGTCAAGACACATAGAAAAGCATTCAGGCTTCATCATTAAAGTTCCAGCCTTCTACATTTAGGAAGAAATCAGGCCTTGAAATATACAACTTAGAAGCAATAGTTATACACAGCAGGTTTCCAGATACAGAAGCTCTTCTTAAATCACAACTCAGCCTGTCAAAAAAGGCAATCAATTTAAATAAATATATAGCACCAATGCTTCAATGCTTGCTTAAGTTAACAAAATTATTAAGAAAACACTAAGTTTCCAAGCACTTTCAAGGAACCATTGAATGCCATTTAAACTATAATCTTGGGCATCTTGGACAATATCCATGTGCAACATCAGTGCTACTGTCTCAATTATGCCATTAAAAATGCTACTCTGCCAGGCTACTACTTAACCATCACTTAATTTCAGACATGGAACTGAAAAGAGACACATGCACAGAAATCATGTTTTCAGGCCACCAGATGGTGCTCAAACGAGAGGCAAGCGAGGACACGGTGTTCGTTTGGGTAGTCAGTTCTAGAGGGACTAACACTGTGCTGCATTAACAAAAACCTCTCCACGACAGCTGGACGGAGGACAGGGATCACGCTAAGGAAAGTGTGTGTTGATTAGTGTTGGTTTTCTCATATCTCAAGCTGTATCTTCAGTTGAGAAGAAACAAATACAGAACAAGCACAACAAAACAAACAAAAAGAAACCCCGCACAAACAAATGCAGGATAAGCAAAAAGCTAAAACAAACAGCTGGACTTCATTCCTCACCCTTGCCCATTGTCCTGGTACCAACTTCCTATACTAGTCAAGTCCTAATGCAAACAGTTCTATTGTAAATATTCAGGTACCATACCATAAATCTCTCTTCCAGTCAAATGAGCTCCAGTTCTAACCTTACTTTCAAGCACCTTTTCATATCTGTCTCTTCTGCTACGTGCTCATTTCCTTTGATTCATTCTTATCTGCTTCTCCTCCTTTCTCCATAGCTCAGCATACAAACTCAGTAGCAGCACCCCTTCTCCTACACAAAGACAAGTGACTCCCAGCACTCTCCTTTTCTCAGTATCTACCCTAAATTTCTTAAGTTTCAGTCACCATGCTCAACCAGTTCCAGCTCATCATCCCTCCTTGCCTGGGAGTTTTTGTACTATGTCAGGTCACACATTTTTGATCCAAGCTTTCTCCTTCTGAAACAGCTCCCTGCTCACAGAGGGATCAATCCAACACCTCATTGCAGACTCCAACTGTTGCATATATTCATTTCTACAGAGGCCTAGATAGGCACTTTGGGTATCCAGTAGACAACCCTCAAAGAATTCAGCTGCTGTCTTCTAGCAAGTGTGTTTAGGGATATGCCAAACAGAACCTTTGCCTTTTTTTCTCCCCTCCCCCCCAATATCATATTTTTGAGGTATGTTTCCTTGGAATGTGTCCATTAAGTTTTAAAAATACTTACTCCGACACACAGAAACAAGAGAGCTACTCAGAAAAACTGCTACCATGTTAACAGGAGCAAATATGCTTATGGATTTAAAAGTGTGACCTTTTCATCTCAAGTTTTCCTTAAATTTCAACTTTGGGTAAAAACCCAGCCAATTAAAATATATTAATAAACCAGACACACACCACCACCCCACCCCCCCAAAAAAAGTCATTCTATATCCTCACTAGAGGTAGACAAAAGGTACTGATGATGCTCATAGGACAGAAGGAAGAAAAGAAAGAAACAGGAAACTGGGTGCACTGCGTGTTTCAGGTCCTAGCTTTGCACGCATTTTATCTAGGGCTTTTACAGGAAGGTCTTGCTAAAACACACTAACAAGAACACTGAATTAACACAAGTCCTACCACAAACGCTTCAATTTTAAATACAGTATTACAAATCTTGCTCCTGTTTTTAGGCATCCACATATTTTCTTTTTAGGTTGAAAAAATGCTCCTTTGTGGCTAGCTTTGTCTCAATAACTTATTAGAAGTTTAAATACCTTGACTTCCTTTCGCTTGCTGTCTTCATCTGCTTCATGTTCCACCACGCCTTGAGTCAGATTAGTGTAGTTTGCTAGTTTATTAAGAAGAGATGACACCATGGGATTACTATCCATTTCTTCCTGTTGGGATTTTAAGAATACTGCATTCATTAAATAGTTTTTTTAAAAAGTCATGATTTTGTGATACTACTTTAAACACATACTCAACAGGTCAACCTGATTCACCCAAATCCAAAAATTAGCATGACAAAATACCAATCAGCTTTCAACCAACAAGAGTTCTAAATCTTTCTAGAAGTTTAACACCATGTGGCTATCTTGCAGTATTTCTTTCACTTTTTTTACACTGTCTTACAATATGCAGCTTGCACAGCTGGAATATAAGGGAAATCTAGAGAAGGTCCACTGGCAATAATAAAAATCTATTCCTATCACAATACAGTTTAAGGGATTGTACTAGCAGGGTCAAGTCATTAGGGTGTTTTTCCAGCATCTTGCTTGTGTCTAGAGAGTGGCCTCAGATGATTCTCTCAAGCACCAAGATACTTAAGGATCACCCTCAAGCCTACTGCTGCAGGCTTATATTTTATCTTAAACCATGCATATTACCTCCAAAGTGTTCATTTGTTGAAAATACAGGCACACATGCATACCATATGTAATATTACTTGGCTCAGAAGTCAGCCCATCTTTCTTTAGCCAATTATCTGCTACAAAACAAAAACGTGCTAAAACAAATAAAATCCAGGAGAAGCATATACAATAAAAGGATTCCAAGAAAAGCAGAACCAGAGAATTCAATCAAGTACACAAGATCAAATATTGGAAGGAAGACAAGAGATCACGATTGCAAACAGAAAGACAGGAACTAAGGCATCTCTGCCTGAGGCATTAGGTGATGATAATCATGGTTATAATAGCCAAACTTCTTTGTAACAGTTTATACAAAAATTCAAACACAAGTCGGCTGAAAACATGAGAAGAATAAGATCGTAGGAAACATACTGTGAAACATATATAGTACCAAAAAAAGATTCACCACTACAACAGCAATGGTAATGAAGTCACTAGAAGGCTTTCAAGGCGACACTATAACAGCATGGTCTATAATCTGAGATATGTAAAACATAGTCATCGTTATGCCATCAGCTGAGGATTTAATGTCAGCCACTATTCAAAATAACTGATGCAAGCATATATTCAAAGGAGATTAGGGACAAAAAGCAGCTATGGCCAATTTATCAATACTGAGGAATACAACAGCTAATTTGAACACAGGAAGTTTTGGACATTGCTTTATGGAATAGAGCTTGAAGGAGAGAAATTCAGTGACAAAACTCCACTATCATGGTTTCCGTTAAAAAATAGTAAGAAATTGCATACATGACAAAGAGAGACAATTAATGACCAACATTACTTTGATCCTTAGCACGATCTTCTCTAAGACTTAGTGGAAAAATAGTAAAAATACATTATTTGGGTCATGCAGAAAGAGGAAACTGAAAGATCATGTTCTCTGTGCAAAGATATTTGAAAGGAATAAGAGAGGAGCATAAGAGGACAACAAGAAAATAGTGGATAGAATGCAACAGCAAGATGGCTAAGCAAACTGTTGGAAAGACCTTGTTTATTGTAAACAGCAAGCATCAAAGCAAGACCAGTTGATGCTGCTAGAGCAAAAGAACTTAGGTTAAACTTTACTAAAAATACTATTTCATCACAAAAGCAGCACTTAAATACCATATCAATATGTATCAATACCAGAGCCTCAATCACAGCTGAAATACCCCAAAAATGTATTTAACTTACCTCAAAGAGAGCCATATTCTTTCCTTCATACATGTTTCCTCTGTCCATCTCTGCACTGTTAATAAATGGACTACTTTCCCTGGCAATCCCATCACCTGGTGGAAAAGTACAACAATTAGAAACAAACAGAAAAAAAGACAAGGTATACCATAAAAGGAATAGTCAGAAGATGCTGGTTTAAGAATTGGTTCTAGATAACAATGGAGGTGGCTGCCAAACACTGTGTCTTTGTCCCAGACACATGGACTCAATGTCCACATTTAAGGAAATTACAAAGATTAAACTGTTATAGTAAGCTTACAGCGTTCTGCCTCTTAACTATTACTTATTATTCTTTAGTACCTATACTGATCCCTCCTCTCTCCCATCTTTCTCGTTTACTTAAAAACACTTGATAATAGAACTTCACATAAACCTTCTGGACAACAACAAAAAAACCGCAACCTACCTTTTCATTACTTTACTGACTCCCTCAAAAAAACTCCAGTAGTTGAGGCAGGAATTTATTAAAAAAAAACAATGTAAAAAGTTATTTTGTAAAGGTTGTGGGGACTTCTCCATGACATGCTATATTTATTCTATTCCTTATTGAAATATCAATCTCATTAAGCTGTAGCTCCCCTGACCTGATCTGGCACACCTCAAAAAAATATAGCATCACTTTCACTGCCTTCCAGCCCACGCAATACAAAAGCTATTACATGCCAACCCTGTCACAACATCAACATTTCCAAATAGTCTCAAGTCCTTGCCTATGTTGCTTTGCCTGTCTGTGCTTTTACCCTTGTATTCACAATTTTCAGCAATAGCACCTACACAGTCTCTTCACTACAGAATTAAGGAACAGCTGGAGAACAAGTTGTACTCTTTTGACCATGTCCTCCACTCTGCCCCATCCAGGACCCTTCTCCCCACATGAATTCCCAGAACAAAGCTGTTGCAAACATGTACACCAGCCTCAGCACAAAGTATTATCTTGGTTGTAATAAAGACAGATATAGATCTCAGTCCCTCAAGCAGATGAGCGACTACCTCCCTGATGGGTTTCCTACCACTCTCCATAGCTCCCTTGTCCAGTAGGCTCTCCATAGTATCACTATACTTATTGGTAGCATGACATAGAAGCTGCATACTATCATAAAAGACTCGAAATATAGCTATTGTCCATTAGGGCTCTAGAATTAATTCCACGTTCCAGAGAAGAACTGTTGATGAATTCATCCGCAACTACTGTTCTTACCCAATGTGTCTCCTTCTATCCATATCCTCCAGCTTTCATTTTTCTGTTTTTCTACAGCTTATAACTGGTCCCCCATTGCTTCAAGTCCTACAGCCTGTCTAGATGCCTCTCCTCCAACAATGCTTAATGCAAGGCCAGCAGAAGGAGCACTGTGAACACAAAAGAATCTCCCTCATGGACCAGCACCTCGAGATGTTTCACAGTGGATGGAACATGCTGGTTTGGCACAAGATTATCTGAGAAGTTGGCATTTATTCTTTAATCGGCTCTATCGTACTTAGAGAAAGGTTCAGTTAGCTGTTCCATAGACAACAAAAAGCAACTCTGTCCCCAAGCAAATACATGCTGATTCCTCTCATCATCTTGCTAAAGCATACAAGGACTAGAACTTCTTAGTTAAGACATTGCACTTTCTTCAAGATTTTTTGGAACATTGTTTTTCTTTTAGCTCCATTCCTTGAAGTGATCACGTTATTTTTGCTAAAGTTCTTACAAAGCATTCATTACAAGGCACATTCCCAAGTTAAAATAAAAATAAGGTTGCTTGATATTTGTCTTGCTAAGACCACACTTTATTGACTTTCTCGCCTATTGATAGCTAGTAGCTATACTTGTTAACTAAATATTAGTACTCCTTTTGGGGTATTTCCACTCCCTTCAGAAAGGATTAGTTTTCAAAAAGTGAGCTGGGGAATTTCAAGTATTGTTTTGCATTCATACAGAGAGTGTAATGTCACTGGAGATACTACTTCAGTGGGTATCATTAGACTAATCAAAACACCAAAAAGGTAGCCAAACGAATAACGTGAATCAATATTCATAATTCTGAGGTTAAAGAATATAGTTTTGTCTTACCAGTTCTGGAGGTAAAAGTCAGCATCTCAGCACTGTACATTAACTATTTTAAATTGTAGGTAGGAGAATAGTGAAGTATTCCTTTATACACTTGTATTTCTAAACAAACAGTTACTTGGCTTGCTCCAGTAGGAAAAAGCTCAGAGCACAGTGTCTCTAACAAGCAAGTCTTGTCAAATGCACCTAAAAGACTTCAAATGGAAAAAATACAGAACTTAGGTTTCCTATTTTTCAAATCCTTTTTCGGTGTTTCCAACCAATATTATACCTATTTTAAAAGCTTTCTAATGCTAGTCTTCAAAATAGCCCGTCACTACCACAGTCTACAGAATTCTCTGTCTTTAATACAGTTGTCTCTCTCAGTATTTTGTGACTGTTTGGTAGAGCATTTTTATAGTATGTGACATGATCAGCATTATCTATTTTAGCTCTATTTGAAAGACGATCAATGCTGAGAAAGTGACCACAAAAATGTACTGACAAGTACTCTCTCATCTGCAGTTTGTTGACTAATCCTACAATTATGAACACCTTTGAACAATCTCCTTTGAGTTTTCAGCATTGCTGTCAACAAAATCATATTGCCTGTAAACTAAAAACCACCACCTTTAGGAGTATGCTTATTTAATATGCTTAGAAATATAGCGAGCCTTACAAACATGTAACTCAATTTGAGATGTATTACACCATCCAGTAGAAAGAACTGTCAACATACACTCAACAACTATGGCAAGATTAATGAAATAAGCTACTACCCCAATCTTTAGCTCATCCCTTCTTCAAAAGAAGGTATTCATTAGAAAACCAGAACTAAAAAAAAAAAAAGACAGGATTTACACTTCTCACAAATGCTGTAAATATCACCTCTGGTGCATCAAGTGGAATGGAGCAAATAGAAAAAACTATTTCAGTTGGTTCCACAGAGGTAAGATCGAATATAGAAATAAGTACTTTGTTCCACTAGTAAGTCTCAAGCCATTTAGAGCTTTGTTTTAACCCTATTCCCTTGGATTCCATGAGGAAGCTTAAAGATAATCAAATCATAGAATTATTTAGGTTGGAAAAGACCCTTAAGATCAGAGTCCAACCATTAACCTAACACTACCAAGTCTACCACTAAACCATGTCCCTAAGCACCACATCTACAGGTCTTTTAAATACCTCCAGGGATGGTGACTCAACCACTTTCCTGGGCAGCCTGTTCCAATGCTTGACAAGCAAATCACCTTTCCCTCAGGCTTCTTTGAAATTGCATCAACTCAAACTCTTTTCAGGTGTGGAGGCGAGTTAAACATACAATAAAAATTATAACTTCCAATGTAGTTTTAGGCATTCCTCTAAGCTGCACTCCCATACACCCCAGCCCTGCAATTGCTGATGCAGTGTAACCCACACAAGTTATCACAAACTGCCCCCAGAGTTGTGCTAGCCTCAAGTTTAGAGCAGCCAATGCCATCAGATAATTTCTCATTAACATTTCCACACACCAAACAAAATTTACATCAGAAATACATCTGCGTATCATAGAGGCAAAAGACAGCACTTTGTTCAAATTCATATTCCTCAGAAGTTTCAGAGTAGTGATCATCACAAATATTGACAGGTAGAATACTTTAAGGTATGTTACCAGTTAAAAATTTCTAAGCTGATCCAAACTGGTCCATTTTATACAGTGTAAGACAGAACCCAACAGCATAGTTTAAACAGGCAGAATCTACCTTTGCCACCAAAAAGGTGGCCCTCTCACACTTACTACTCACCCATTTGTGTCCCTGTATCACACTGTCCCTCACACAAACAGAACTATTTATTATAAATGCAAGTGTTGTGTGCTTAATGCTGAGTTGGGAGAGAGTTGTTTTGCTTTTGTTTTTATTCTTGCTGCTACTTTTAATCCAGATGAGTTTGCGTGTTCATTACACAAATGCTTGTGCTGTCACTAGAGACACCATCAGTGTAAGAATGAGCAATCCGTGCAAGCAAAACCACTTCCTTAGCATTGATGCCAATATTACTAAGTCATAGAACTACAGTGGTTGGTTTTTCCCCTCCACCCCCCCCCAAATCAAAGAGGTAGAGTATGAAAAAAGTCAGTTACAGGTGTCTTGTCTGAGGGAAAGTGGCAGAGCAGGGCTTGGGGTAGAAGAAGGAAATGATCATTTAAGTGATCCTAAATTTGCACTAGGATGTCTGTTCAAGAGATTAAGGACAAAAAAAAAATATTAGACCATCTAATCTGACTTCCTGTCTTTCCACAGGTTGCAGAATTTTATTTCTGCATTAGGCTCTATAACTTTGAAAAAACATACTGAGATTTGACCAGTGTATCTCTTGATGTTTTCAGAACTGAAATAAGAAAAAAGCCTATAAATTTATCTTTATAAAGATTAAGGGTTTTTTATTCACTGGAAAAAGACTCAAAACAAATTGTTCCTTATTTCTGTTTAAATTTGGCTCTTTTCAAACTTCTAGCTGTAACATTTTAGCAAACCTTCCAAATTTAACCACTGGCACTTAGTATTTTCTATCTGTGAAGGTAACTATACTTACCAAACCATCTCAAGCTTCCTTTTGAAAAACTGAAACAGTTAAGGTTCATAAAATGTTTTCCTAACCCTGAATCATTTTTGTGGCAACATTCTCTCCAGTTTTTAAGTTATGCAGAATAAAAATTTTCAAACTTTAAAAATCAAATACAGCCTTCTAACACCAGTCTCAATCATGCTATTTACAAGAGTATAATCATCACTTCTCTACTCCAAGGATCAGGCTAGCCCTCTTTACCACAGCATTAAACCAAGCTCATGCTATTCTATTCCAGTCTGACCCCTAAATCCTTTCCAGATTCACTGCTTCCTTGCTGTCCCACACTATGTCTGTCATTATTGTTCACATTCAAGAAATGATCCTATTTGCTTTTGCATTCAAACACATTTTGTCCAAAAAAGCAAGCATCTATGTCTCCCGTCACGCTGTAAGAGTTTAACATCTACCTGAAAA